TGATTGTCCCGCCACGAAGACAATTTTGAATCACATTGGTAACAATGGATATTATTCATGTTGATACTGTAAGATCATAGGTATCCATATTTTAAATAAAAGACAATACCATTTTGAAGAAGCACCAATTATGAGAACTATCGATAGTTATATAAGTGAATCTACAAAAGCTAAACAAACATGTGAAAATATAAATGGTCATCTAGGTATATCAATTCTACATCAAATTCTAGATATACGACTTCCAAATTCGATCATAATGAATTATATGCATACAACATTGCTTCAACATACGCGTAGCGTTGTCCTACAGTTGTACTCAAATATTCAACCTAAAGAAAGAACCGAATTGGACAATAAACTACGTCTTCAACAATTTCCACATACATTCCACAGAAAGATGAGACCAATCAATCATGCACACGTAAAGTATGCTTTACTTAAACACTGTTCTCATAAAATGATGCGAATAGGCTATTATATTTTATACTGAAATTATAATGATTAGTACTACTTTATCATGTTATCTCAAGTATACGCTTTCTGAGATCAGGTTTCTGTTCTCTCAGATTATACTCGTATGGAGGCCAAGCGCTCTATGAGTGCTAAGAATATTAGACTTCTCTTTTTTTAATCTAATAGACCTTAAAAAGTGATTTTTAATATGTTTGATAAGACATTAGAAAGTCAAGATCTATTTTGATAGACCTCACTCGAAGATAAGTAATGGTATCTCTTATTAATAATCTCTATTGTTTTCTTGATTTGAAACCTATCGAAGGGTGTGGGTGGGTATAGATGTGGGTGTGTGGGTGTGGGAGTGGAGTGTGTGGGAGTGGGGTGTGTGGGTGTGGGTGGGGTGTGGGTGTGTGGGGTGTGGGTGTGTGGGGTGTCGGTGTAAATGTGGGTGGGTGTGGATTGATCTTATCTTAAAACACACCAACACCCACACCCGTTATATCAATACCTTCGGTTTCATCATCATCTAAGTCTTCATCTAGAAAATACTTTCATGGATTCACAGTGCTCAAACATAGAAAAATATTTACTTTCATCATTATCAAAACATTGTTGCGATTCTTGAGTTCTTTATTTTTTGTTCATTCTCGTACGTCTCTAATGTTCCTAGAAGATTAAACAATCGTATAATTGAAAAGAGGAAAAAAATCCAAGACAAATTTTAAATATTATCTGCAGTAATAATAGTAGCAGATTTTTTTTACCAGGAATATTAAGTAATGCTGTATCACCCGTAATGTTCTTGATACTACTAGGTAAAGCAATACTATATGAATCGGTTGAATTAAAACAGAACAAATAATGTGTTGATCAAATGAAGTTGTCATTTGGTGAGAAAACATTGCGAGGACGCCGAGCTCGTTATTCTCGTTGTGTAGTAGTCATCTCAAAAGTTTAATCTGAAATATTGAAACAAAAATTGATAATAGTTTGAGAAATTTTCCGCCACGAACAATCACTTAAGACCTTCGAATTGCGAAAAGATATTAATTATTGATGATTGAGGAATAGAAAAGTGACTATTGAGTTCAATTTTAGTATATACGATTACGTTCATCTTAATGTGTTCCTCATTTTTTAATTAATATCATTTCGATATTCTTCAGCAATATGCTAAAGTGATAAGATATCTATAATGTTTTATAAAGCTTGGCACTGATAAATTCTACAAATGATGAAATTGAAAGAGACTTTTAATTATTCATATTCAATCAAGTTCATGATAAACTAAGATAGGAAACACAACGAAAGAATCATTTTCTTCAACAACAATACATACCTCCATAGAACTTTCAATATCAACTACATCAAAATGACAAGATACTTTGGCCAAAACAAAAAACATTCGTCACCGGGTTCAATTAGAACACTATAATACGAAGATGAAATTTAAAAAAAATCAGAAAATCGTTTTTTAATCGGATGTCGTTTAACAACTGCATATTGCTTATCATTACAGGACATAAATACGATAACAATACCAAATAATGAACCATATTTGATAAAATAAGAAACAGATGATTGTTTCTTTGTATATTCTAAAGAATGGTAAACGATTTGTTGCTTGTTTCTAAATCGTTGATAGAATTTCATACAATTATTAACATTAGAACAATTACAAAACCTTTGATGAATATTAGGCAATATCTTAAAAAGTTTATCAACATAATTACATACTTAAAAGTTCAGAGTAAATTTAAATTACCTCGATAAGTTCTTCAGGTGCCGATGTTATATCAAAAAGACCATCCGAAGTTGAAATTGAAGAAGAAGGATCTTCATTTTGATGTATATTTTTCAATGCGAAATCTATCTGAAATATGAAAGAATAACAATTTAATATTGTTTTTATTATAGAAACTATATAATATGCTCGAATTATTTGAAATACCCCTATTAGAAAATAGGAGCTTGCTCAAACATTTTTCTAAGTTCAAAAATATAAATAAAAAAATCCTCCTTTATTAAACTAAAGCATGAATTATATAAAAACAAAACTTACATTTAGATAAAATACAATTTGATCACCCCAAAAACTTGAACCATGCTTATATTTGGATACAGCACCAATAAATTCTTCTTGAGAGAACATGTTGATATTGCATAAGCTTCCGCGATTTCGATGAAGTTCAGCAAAATGGGCATGGAGATGCAGAACAAAATTTTGTTGTTCAGAATAAAGCTTTTCATGATCACGGTAGAATGTAATTAAAAGATCATGAGGTCGATCAGCTGTCGCTTTACTGAAAACTCGACGACCATGAAGTAACTGAAATCAAATGTTCTGTTCGACTCTAGCTATTCATGACGATGGCAATGGTATTATGATTTTCGCAAAATTTCTGCATTAAAATTTCAATTAAAGTTTTGTAAACAGTCTATTAATTTCAAAACATGTGAACCTGTGGTTTTTTTGAAAAAGAAACCACAACTTTAAAAAAAGCAAATCGATTCAGAAAACTTGCGAAAGAATGATATTGTTAAATTTTTTGTATACACTGTTCGCTGTCTGTATACATAACATAGTATAGATATATTTATCTGACTCTGAAGATGTCAACATAGCTTAGTGTTCTGTTCGTCAAAATTCATTCAGCAGTTCTCTTTATAACTGGTACATTTTAAATTCCATCAGATGAATCTTTAGATTGATGGTCACATGTTGAATCGGAAGAAATCTCATTGGAAATTTTTAAAAGATATTTAATCGTACTCACACGAATACCAACAATGAATAGTCCAAGATGAGCTACTCTGTTGTATTCAAGTGAACTCCGGGTCATAGGTAGAACACAATATAAGAAAAAGTTCCGTATTTCTGTGGCTCTAAAATATACAAACGAAAGACATACATTTTTAAATATAATCAATATTTACTTAAGACATCCTTCGCTTAACAATCGCAGCTTTCTGTTAAAAAAATGTGGGAATCGTTGAATTGACATTAACTGACCTAATTGCGTTCGCTGAATCAAGTTCCAACACTATTTTGTATAGATAAAGACATATTGCTTTTGCATGGCGTAAAAGGGTAACATGTAAATAATCCGCAATAACAAATTTTGGCAGAGGAATGTCGAGAATTTTTTCAAATATTGAAATTCCTAATGGTCCATTTATTTTTGTTTGAAGTTGTTGAGCTTTTCTTGAATCAAAAGAAAAATTAAATTCACCCCTGATTGGGGTATTCTTATCATAAGAATATTGTCTTTTGTTGTTCACATGTACTCCTTCAACTTTGCAATACCAACAGCAATAGTAACCACCGTGTGAATTATGATTAAGTGCCATGCTTAACGTCGGACAATCACTAATCACTCCGTACACTTTTAGCATGACTTGAGTACCTAATCTTGTTGAAAAATCTAAAAACAGAAGATATGACATTTAAACGAATATATTAAATCAACTCAAAGATAATCTCTTAATTTTCAAGGAACAGCTCCTAAAACATTTTCAACTACGCCAAAAGTTCAGATTCTAAATGGATGAAATTTAAAAACATTGAATGTAAAAATGTAACCTTCGAAATATCTGACGTTTTCTTTTATACGTTATCGTTTATTTACAATTAATAAACTGGATGCATCTCAATCAGTAGTGACTATCTATTTCGTTAACAATAGATTTATCCCTTTTTAAGATGTATACTTAGCATTTGACTTTAAATATGTTAAGCTGTTAAAAGTTTCACCAAGCCACAATTTAATATCTGGTTTCTGTTTTCTGTTTTCCAACCCAAATCGATAAAATCAAGTTGTTTTGTCATCGATTTCGTACGGCAGGTGTAAGTTCAACAATTGAACAACTTAAAATCTACATAGATTGTTTGCTTGATTTACTTAGATTTATACCATCTAAGTGTAAAATGATGCTAATGAAAGGATAGTTAATAGAATTACATAATGTTTTATAATTTCAATTGTAGACAATATTATTATTTTCATCATCTAATATTCGTTGTGTAAAAATTTCACGATATGAATTGATAATGGTAAATAAACGGTCATAAAAGGTGTTCCAGAAGTTCTGAAATGATTTTTAAAAGTTATCATTTTCGCATTTATTATAAGCGAATCTTTTTGAAATTTTTACAGATTGTTGAATCTACCTAGTACTACATAACCACAAGATTTCAAGTTTATATCTCATCATAGTAATGAGAAACTGCACAAAAGACTGCAATGAATTTTTTTCAAAATTTTCCGACAGCTAATGATGATGTGAAAATAACAGAAAAGTTGTTATTTGCAGGATGCTTCGACTAATATGTGACAGAAGAGAAAATTTTCTTTTACCGATATATTTTTCCTTCTGCACATGTCGATGAGCGGAGTATATAAGGAATAACATTAGTCGATCACAACTGAATCCACACAAAATGTCACATGAACTATCAGCGACAAATAAAAAAGAATTTCGTTCATTTGTATTACATTTAAAACAATTACATCCAACATGGAAATCTAAAGAGATTACAAATTTTCTTATTCAGTCCGAAAATCCCTCACCTTATACAATGGAAAGTGCTTTGAACGTCAAAGTTTGGAGAATTCTAAATAGAAACCAGGTGAATGATTTGCCAAGATCGAGTACACCATGTACAACAACAACACTTGAATATATTCAGGCTGTAAAAAATAATCTTCGACTAACCAAAAGCACAACCATCAGAAATGTTAATGCAAAACTTCAACAACAAGGTTTTAAAACATCGAAAAGTTCAATTTGGCGAACTAAACAATTATTAAAATTAAAATGGTGGAAAAGAAAAGTAGTACAAAAATTAACAATTGATCGAAAACTTCAATGTGTTATCATTGCCAAACGATTGAGAAAAAAATACGGTTTTAAGAAAGGAAATAAACTTTATGATTGGATGTATGTTTTGAATACAGACTTTAGTGGTACATTCACGTTGAATCCTCAGTCTAACCGACACAATGAAGGTATTTATGCTGAATCTAAATCGGATATTTCATATGAATTAAAAACGAAATCAAAAGAAAAGTTTCAGAAAAGTGTCATGTTGTGGGGCGATATTTCCTATCAAGGATTATTTTCTAAACAGTATCCAATTTTTGTTGATGAGTGGTTAGAACTCATTAGACCAAAAGATGGTAACAGGCGCAAAAAGATGTACTTTACCGGTGCACGTTATGCACAATTTATTCGAACTATTATAGCACAAAAAGCGAATGAAGAATTAGGTGATTTACGTTATGTTATCTTCCAACATGAGCAAGATCGTAAACAACGAATGAGAGTAGCTTTGGATGCCGTTGATCATGTTTTTCATAATCGGATTGAACCAAAAGATTGTACTGCGAAATTAGCTGATGTCTGGCCCATCGAAAACGTTTGGGGTATATTGAAAGAAAAGCTTCGAGGGCGACAGTATAATAGTCTTGAACATATGAAAAATGATATTAGAAGCGAATGGAATCAATTTAGTGTGTCTTTATGTCGACGGATGATAGATAAAATTCCAGAAAGATTAAAACTAGTTATCGATAAAGGTGGTAATCAAATATAGAATCATTGTTAATTTGATTGATTTTTTATATTTGTATACCTTATTCTGATGATAGTAAACTAGATGATGACGAGATTGTGAAAACTAGTACATGATACTTGTAGTAAGAAGCTTTGGAAATAGTAACTTTTCTGTTATTTTCACATCATCTTTAGCTGTCGAAAAATTTTGAAAAAAATTCATTGCAGTCTTTTGTGCAGTTTCTAATTACTATGATGAGATATAAACTTGAAATCTTGTGATTATGTAGTACTAGGTAGGTTCAACAATCTGTAAAAATTTCAAAAAGATTCACTTATAATAAATGCGAAAATGATAACTTTTAAAAATCATTTCAGAACTTCTGGGACACCCTTTATATGTATTATGTATTGCGTTAAAACATAAGTTCTGCAAATTTTTGTGCAGCATCAAAGGTAACTATAACTTACAGGTCAATTTTTGACCAGATAATGGGATATACGTAGGTTTGTAGAGGAAGACTTCCTCTATCCAATGGTATATATATATTGTCAAATTTTGCTGCGTACTGTGAGAGAAGATTAAATTTAAAAATGAGAGATTTAATGCGAGTTTTCTATGTAAAAATTAAAATCAAGCACAGTCAAGCTAAAAATCTGTACGCAACAGGGTTTGATAATATTGGATCGAGGAAGTCTTCCTCTATGAACCTACATTTATCCGTTTATCTGCTTAAAAGGTTATAATCGCCATTATTTTACGACAAAGATATGTAATATCAATCAAGAATATAATCAGAATTATTTTCTACAGCATTCGCTCATCTTACTGGTAATTGTTCAATCTCATGTTTTTATCGAGAATTTCAAGCATATTACAACCAAAATAATTAAATAAACCTATTTGTTTTTCTTTTGAACATTAATTTGATCTATTCACATTAGTGGCATAACCAGGAAATTTTTACAGAGGGGGCAAAAAATGGTTTTTGGCTGAGTAAGAGACGTTTACATGGGGACCGTTTACAGAGGGAGCATTGCAACCCCCTTCCGGTGGTTACGCCACTAATTCACACTCGACGAAGTTAGTTACCATATTAATACCAGAGAATTACTTGCAGCAAATTTTGCCATATACCAGAAAATGATCGTGGTAAAAGATCAACACCTTGATGCATAAAAGCAGCAAATCAAAAAAAATAAAGCATTTTGTATGGAAAATTTATTGCATGAAATAAGATCAGATTCATTTTCGAAATACCATTCATAAAATGATGAACTACTAACAAGAAATAAAATGGCACTAACAAGTAAATAAGAAACAATAACACATATCCAAATTTCTTTTGATAAATGGTGTCATAAATGAAAATACATCGGGTTTTTGTTTTTCAGGTTTACGTATCATTATTGATATACCTAAATCAATGAATGGTTTTGAAAAAT